GCCAAGAATATACAATGAGGAAAAAACAGTCTTTTCAATGAGTGTCCAGAAAACTGGATAGCCACATGAAAAAGATTAAACTGGGTGCCTGGGTGGCTCAGTTGGTTAAGCGACTGCCTTCGGCTCAGGTCATGATCCTGGAGTCCCTGGATTGAGTCCCACATCGGGCTCCCTGCTCGGCAGGGAGTCTGCTTCTCCCTCTGACCCTAACCCTTCTCATGTGCTCTCTCATTCTCTCTCTCTCAAATAAATATTAAAAAAAATATATTTAAGAAAAAGAATAAAACTGAACCACTGTATTACAGCATACACAAAAATTAACTCAAAAGGGACTAAAAACTTGAACATCAAACCTAAAACCATAAACTCCTAGAAGAAAACATAGGGGGTAAGCTCCTTGACGATGATCTTGGCAATAACTTTTTAGATTTGACACCAAAAGCAAAAGCAACAAAAGTAAAAATAAACTAGTGGGACTCCAGCAAACTAAACTTCCTGTGCACGGGAAACAAAACTATCAACAAAATGTAAAGGCAACCTACCGAACTGAAGAAAAAATTGGCACATCATATATCTGATAAGGGATTAACATCCAAAATATATAAAGAATTCTCACAATTCAATAGCCAAAACAATTTAAAAAACCAGTCCAATTAAAACACGGGCAGAGTATCAGAAGAGACATTTTTCCAGAGACTTAGAGATAGCCAACAGGTACATGAAAAGGTACTCATTAGGGAAATGCAAATCAAAACCACAATGTGGTATCATCTCACACTTCTTAGAATGGTATTGTCAAAAAAACAAGAAATAATAAGTGTTGGTGAGGATGTGGAGAAGAGGAACCCTTGTGCACTGTTGGTGGGAATGTAAATTGGTCCAGCCACTACAGAAAACAGCATGAAGGGGCACCTGGGTGGCTCAGTTGGTTAAGCGACTGCCTTCAGCTCAGGTCATGATCCTGGAGTCCCAGGATCAAGTCCCGCATTGGGCTCCCTGCTCGGCAGGGAGTCTGCTTCTCCCTCTGACCCTCCTCCCTCTCATGCTCTCTATCATTCTCTCTCTCAATAAATAAAAATCTTAAAAAAAAAAAAAAAGAAAACGGCATGAAGTTTAATCAAAAAATAAAAAATAGAACTACCATATGGCCCAGCAATTCTACTGGGTGTTTATCCGAAGGTAACAGAAACAGTAACTCAAAAAGATATATGCACCCCCATGTTCACTGCAGCATTATTTATGGTTGCCAAGGCATGGAAGCAACATGAGTGTCCATCTATGAATGCATAAAACAAATGTGATATATATATATATGTATATATATATATATATATACATATATATATACACACAATGGAATATTTTTCAGCCATAAAAAGAATGAAATCTTGCCATGTGTGACAACATGAAGGGACCTTGAGGGCATTATGCTAAGTGAAATATGTCAGACAAGAAAGACAAATGCAGTATGATCTCATTGTGGAATCTAAAACAAAAGCCAAACTTATAAATAGAGAACAGATTGGTGGCTGCCAGAGGGGGAGTAGAAGGGGGCTGGTTAAATGTGTGAAGATGGTCAAAAAGTATAAACTTCCAGTTATAAAATAAGTCCTAGGATGTAATGTACAGCACGATAACTACAGTTAATAATACTGTATGTATATTTGGAAGTTACTAAGAGAGTAAATCTTAAAAGTTCTCATCAAGAGAAAAAAACTGTAGAGACGGATGTTAACTTTACTAATTGCGGGGATCATCTGGCAATATGCACAAATATTATAATATTATATCATTGTGTCATACACCTGAAACTGTTACATGTCAATTATATCTCAATTTAAAAATATACAGATAAATTAATTAAAATGGCCCCAAATGATTCCTGCCTTTTGTCAGGGCCCAGGGCAGGCTGCCTCAAAATGTAGCACAATGGTATACTGATTATTCTGAATTGAAGCTATTTGGGAAACTGCTGGTGCAAGAACACTGAGACCCTCCTCTGACTCCCTGAAAACAGGAAATAAATCTCCCGTATGAAAAATACCCTTCCTGTACTAAGAAGTAAAAAGACATCCTCATCACCAGAGATAAGGACGTTAAAACCCAGAAAGCAAAAGAAACAAGCCTTTGTTACAAATCTACTACCTCAGCCTAAATTATACTTAAAATTCCTTACTAAATAAAGCTCCCAAACATCTGTTTTCTTTATCCTGCCAGTTCCTCACAAATTTATTATGCCTAAAATGTATAAAAACTGCCTGCCTTGGTCATTTCTTTCAGTCTCAATTTCATCATTGGACATCCGTGCACACATAATAAAACCCTGGTTTTTGTTCCTGTTGTCTCATGCAGTTTAATCCCTAAACCAGCTGGAAGACTCCTGGGAAGAAAGATTTCTCCCTTCTGTACTTCTAATATTCACTCCTTTGTGTAATTCCCTTCCCTTAAATGTAGGCTGGACTTACTGGCTCTCTTTAAAAAAACAGAATATGCAAAAGTGAAGGGATGTTACTTCAAGATTAGGTTATAAACGAACTGGACTTCCATCTTTGACACTCATTCTCTCATGTGTTTTCTTTGATTGCTTGCCTGCCCTGGGGGAAGCTGCTGTGTCTTAAGGCAGCCCTTTTGAGAAGCCTTCTAGGTGAGTACAAAGGCCTGCCTACAACTACATGAGCGAGGTTATAGGCATAACTTTCCCTCTACCTCTAAACTGAGCCCTCAAATGAAACCTCAGCAGCCGAATAGCTTGATTCAATCCTTATGAGAAACCTTCTGCCAGCGGCACCCAGCTAAGCCTGGATTTGATAACCAAAACACAATGAGACTGTTTGCTGCTTTAAACCATTAAGTTGTGCAATAATCTGCTATGCAGTAATAGATAACTAATAAACTGGTACTTGCCTGATTTTTCAGCCCCGGTTTATATCAGTTTATTCTCCCATTTCAGGCTCCATTCATAATTTCAGGTCCTCAAAAATACCACTTTTTCTTACCTTAGGGCCTGTATCATGCTACTCTCTCTACTGGAATATTCTTTTGTCCTCATATTCCCACTATTCTTTAACCTCCAATCATTCTTTATATCTCATCTCTAATTGCTCACACTTTTCCACTTCCTCCCTTCAAGATCAGGTTAGGTATAACTTTGTTTCTCTTTTCCCAACACTTTGCATTAATTACATTTACTACAAAGGTAGTTACTCAACTAGCTTTCCTTCTTATCTGCAAGATCAATGAGGAAAAGTGTTTCTATTTCTTATGTTCAATATATCTCCAGAGCTTAAAACAGAGCCTTGTTCACAGTAAGCACTCAGTACAAATCTGCTGAAAAATAAAAGTTCAGGGGCGTGGGAGGATGGGTTAGCCTGGTGATGGGTATTAAAGAGGGCACGTTCAGCATGGAGCACTGGGTGTTACACGCAAATAATGTATCATGGAACACTACATCAAAAACTAATGATGTAATGTACGGTGATTAACATAATAATAATTAAAAAAAAGAAAAATAAACGTTCAGAGAAGTGTTTTTTAACACAGATTACATATAGAAAGAGACAGAAAAATGAAACCTCAGCCAACTCAGCAGTTGCCCCCAATCTCAACAAACTCCTGGAAAATATCTCCAATTCAACTTACTAACATCATGCTGAGAGAAAGGTTTAGGAACAAGAAAACAAATAATGAGGGCTACAAAAACCCATGAAAAACCTGGAAACTGTAATATTAGTTCCAACTCCCCCAAAATTCAATATATCTAGGGAAGAATGTTTTTCACTGCCTTTGGCTTAGAGTGGAGTTTTATTACTTAAAAATCTTTCTAGTCTCTCTTGATCTTGATTTTTTTCTATCCTTTTCTATCTCCTCCAGTTCTCAGTTTTTTAGCACAGTGGCTATATGCAATACATGTAGATATCATACCTGCCATCAAATCCAACATATTTCTGGCTGTGTGACTTGGATACATTACTTAACCTTACTTCAGTTTCCTCTTCCAAAAAATGGTTAAAATAACAGTTCTCACTTCATAGGATAGAAATGGAGATTATATGAGATAACGTTCAGTGCAATGCCTGGTTATAGTAAAACTTCAAAAATGTTAGCCCTCATTATCTAAATGATGATCACCCCACTAAAATGGAACTTTTAACTCACCAATGCTCTAATTTGGGAACTTGAGGCTAACTAGTTTCATACCTAGTACCCCTCCCATCCCTCTGCCTATATCTTTTAACATCTCCGCATCTGACTATAAGCATTTTGGAGGATAGCAATCAAGCCTGTCTTTCATTACCTGTTGCCCTAACAGCCCCCCATAACCCTGAACATAGCAGGCAGTCAAAAATGTGTATTTTAGAGTTCAAAATAATTAAACACCTAGTTCAAATAATACGTATCATATGCACTATTGCCAACCGTCACTCTCTAATCCCCTTTCATAACTAGATAAACCAAGGCCCACGAACGGTCTAATAGAAAAGCCAAAACTGGGATGACAATCCAACATCCTTCCTTAACATTATGCAGATAAAACAAAGGGCTCAAATTTTAAACCTAAATAGTACAAAATCTCTGCTTCTAAGTCGTAATAATTTTCAAAATCACACCACAAACTTTTCAAAGTCTGGTAGACTAAGAGCCTCAGGTGCTGTAGAGTATCGCCAAAGTAAATTTTCACAGCGGTCAAGGTTCCAAGCCCCCCAACCAAGGTTCTGTTTTCACAGAGGAAAGACCGGCAGGAACCCCGGATTCTCGGGGGAGAAGGGTTGAGGGGGAGCTCATTCCCCCTCCGACCCCAGTTTTCAGAGAAGAAAGTAGCCTTGAGAAACGGAGAGGACCTGTCCCTTGCAGTCACCTGAAGAGCTCCAGGAACACCTGGCCCTAAGTACCTGCCTCAGTTCACCACATTCCCCAAGGTGATACGGAGCAGGCCGGCTGAAGAAGTGGGTGCCGGAACCCAGCCAGTAGTGAGGGGAGCGGAGTCAGGGCGGCGGGGGTACCTCAGAGCCGCGGAGTCGCCAAGTACAGCACAGTCCGCGGCAGCCAGCAACACCCCTCGAGAGCCAAGGTCCGGGAAAGACGGCACGTGCCCAAGGGAGAAAGTGCCAGAGGCGAGCGGCGAGCGCCATGACCAAAAACTCGCTGACTGACCCTTCACCCCTTTGGGCCGCTATGGAGCGCAGCAGAGCGAAAGTCTCTCCCGTCCTTCCCGAGAAAACCGCGACTTCCCTCTTCCAGGCCGCCCCTTCCGCTAAGCGATTTCCGGTCCACAGGTTCAGGGGGAGGGAAATACCCGGTTGGGGGGGGGCGGACTTAGCGGCTCTTTCGCGCCTGCGCCCGGAGGAGTGTTCCCTTGATGCTGTCGGGTTTTTGCCGGTGCTTTGTGGGGGCTCTCCTGGCTTTGGCATACGATTAATCACCAGAACAGAATTGAAAGTTCTCTGATAGACCCGATAATTTAAGTATGCAAGAAAAAAATGATTATTATTTATAATTCTCTGCTGCCTTCAAAGATAGGGTAATAGAGGGTCCTTTTGGGGAATAAATAATTGGAAGAATTAAGCTGTTCCACATAAAGAAAGCAAAGAAGAGGGGCACCTGGGTGGCTCAGTCAGTTAAGCGGCTGCCTTCTGCTCAGGTAGTCATCTCAGAGTCCTGGGATGGAGCCCCTCCTAGGGCTCCCCGCTCAGCGGGGAGTCTGCTTCTCCCTCTCCCTCTGCTGCTCCCACTGCTTGTGCTCTCTCTCTGTCAAATAAATAAAATCTTGAAAGAAAGAAGAAAAGAAAGAAAAAGGAAAGAAGGAAGGAAGGAAGCAAAGAAGACATTGTTAGGAGGAGGAGTTCTGGGGGGAAAGAGAAGCCAGAGAAGATAAAGAATGTGAAGCCCAAGCTGGTCTTAGTACAAAACGATGTGGGGGCGCCTGGGTGGCTCAGTCAGTTTAGTGTCTGCCTTGTGCTCGGGTCATGGTCCCAAGGTCCTGGGATCGAGCCCCACGCCCGGGGTTCCTACTCAGAGGGGAGTCGGCTTCTCCCTCTCCCTCTGCCTGCCCCTCCCCCTGCTTGTGCTCTCTCTCTCTCGCTCTCTCGCTCTCTCTCAAATAAATAAATAAAATCTTTGAAAAAAATGGGGGAAAACAAAAAATAAATAAAATGATGTGGACAACAAAGGGAAAAGAAAAAAAATTAAACTTTCTTACAACTTACAGCCCATTGATAAGTACCTTCTTCAAGGAGCTTAGCTGCCTCAGGCAACGTAGTTTGACATTAGCCCAACCTCTAAGACACTATAAAAATCCCTTTGGAAACTTCCTTTATCTCTACCTACACCCCACCCCCCCCACCCCCAAGATATATGTATATATGTTAGCAATCATCCTCAAAACATAAGGCACACTAATATACATCTGAAGGGTCTCATGACTAAGGTTTTACCAGACAGTATTAAATGACCTTTTCCTAACAACAGCTAGCCCTTCAAGGTCCTGGAAACCTTGCTTCCAAATTCCTTAGAGACTTACGTATCCCTAAACCCCTCCCAACTTGAAAGTATATAATCAGCCACTCCTTACGACCCCAGAGAGCTCTGTCTGCCCATGGGTCCTGTGCCTGTGCTTTAGTAAAACCACCCTTTTTGCACTGAAGTCGTTTCAACAATTCTTTCTGTACTGTTTGCTCGCAAACCACAACATTTCACTTCAGAAAAGACTAGGGAGAGGAGGCCTCATGAAAGAAAGTTTATGCCCTTGTTTGCCATGGGATGTGTGGTACAAAGCCTCTGGCTTCCCCTCAAAATATTTAGTAAGATTGATACCTCTCACCAGAGTGGAATATTTTTGGATCTTACTTCAGGATTGATGTGGGTGAAAACACAAGCTGCAAATGGAGTACATACTATCTGGATTACATAACATTTTTTATGGGCAATAAGGGAAGATAATCACAGTTTGTTAAAATTAGGTTGCATTTATGTAGTACCAATATAGTATTACATAGTGTAATAACACATACTTATTTCATTTGTTCTTCCCAACTATCTTGTGAAATAATGGCTATGCCAAATTAATTAACAAAACAACTGTAGCTCAAAGAGATTTATTAACCAAGGATACATAGGTAATAGGTATTGTTGGAAGACTAGAAGACTAGAATCCATGTCTTTGAACTCCAAGTCCAATGCTTTTATATGATTGCTGCCTCCACCACTTCCCATTAAATCAGCCACATTTCTTTACAATTGGATCAATAATATCCTTATTTCCTTTGTTTTTAAAGTATATTTTATTTTATTTTATTTTTTAAAGATTTTATTTATTTATATGACAGAGAGAGACACAGCGAGAGAGGGAACACAAGCAGGGGGAGTGGGAGAGGGAGAAGCAGGCTTCCCGCCAAGCAGGGAGCCCGATATGGGGCTCGATCCCAGGATCCTGGGATCATGACCGGAGCCGAAGGCAGACGCTTAATGACTGAGCCACCCAGGCGCCCCTGTTTTTAAAGTATATTTTAAAAAGCACATAGAGTCTCTTCTTAACTTTTTTTGAACCCTGGTCTTTTTTTTCCAGAGGGAACCATTTTTATATATTTCTACTGGTAGTTACCTCAATATTCCTAAATTATATGTTCATATAACTAGGTGCCATGAGAATCCTGAAATTGAGTTTCTGATATCTTAGCCAGAGTAAATTTTTTCAAAGATTTTATTTTTAAGTAATCTCTACACCCAACATGGGGCTCAAACTGACAACCCTGAGATCAAGAGTGATGTGCTCTACCTACTGTGCCAGTCAGGAACCCCAACCAGAGTGAGATGTTAACGAAATTTTCTATTTTGAAAAAAAATTTAGATCCTTAGAAAAGTTGCAGGAACTCCCATTCCTTCACCTAGATTCAGCCGTTGTTAGCATTTTGTCACATTTGCTTTATCTTTCTTTACATATATTACATATAATATACATATTATATTCCAATTATTATGTTTTGTTGTTAAATCTTTTGAGAGTAGATTACAAACTGTCTCTCTTTTTTTTAAGATTTTATTTATTTATTTGACAGAGAGCTTGTTTGGAGGTTCTAGCAGGGGAGCGCAGTAGAGAGACACAGCGAGAGAGGCAACACAGGCAGGGGGAGTGGGAGAGGAAGAAGCAGGTTTCCCGCGGAGCAGGGAGCCCAATGCGGGGCTCGATCCCAGGACCCTGAGATCATGACCTGAGCTGAAGGCAGATGCTTAATGACTGAGCCACCCAGGCGCCCCTGAAAGATACTCTCTTATTTAGTCCCAGTACAATTATCAAATTCAGGAAATTGAAATTGACTGAATACTATTAGTTAATATACAAATTTTGCTTATTGTCCCAAAGCTGTCCTAGATTGCAACCTCTTTTTTCCCAAATCAGATCAAATCCTGATTATAGGGTGCCTGGGTGGTTCAGTCAGTTGAGCGTTCTGCCTTCAGCTCAGGTCATGATCTCAGGCTCCTGGGATTGAGTCCCACATCCATCGGGCTCCCTGCTCAGCAGGGAGCTTGCTTCTCCCTCTCCCTGTGTGTGCTCTTTCTCTCTCTCTCCTTCGAATAAATAAATAAAATCTTTAAAAAAACCAAATCCTGATTATATGTTTATGTGCTGCATTTAACTGTCATGTTTCTTTAGTTTCTGTAAGTATGTAATATTTCTCTCTTGGCTCCAGGCACACTATCTTCTCTTTCCTACAATGAGCTATAGTCTCTCTGTCAGGATTCCTTCCCATTCCGCTATCTTGGCACCCTCCCCCTTGCTCCCATCCCACTCCACTGTTTCTTACTTAGCTAATTTCAATTCATCTTTCCTTTTTTTTAATTTTATTTTTTTCAAAGATTTTATTTATTTGAGAGAGAGAGACAGAGAGAGCATGAAGGGGGAGGGGCAGAGGGAAAGGGAGAAGCAGACTCCTCACTGAGCAGGGAGCCCCAACATGGGGCTCGATCCCAGGACCCTGAGATCATGACTTGAGCTGAAGGCATATTGGGTACTAAAAATATAAAAATATAAAAAATATAAAACCATTCCCTTGTCTCTATTTCTTTCCCTATTTTAGTAGAGCCAAAAGTCAGGAAGGTTAGGTATGGATATGGATATGTATTCTTGAAATTTTGAAACTTGCAACTAAATTAGTGGTATCTGAGGACATTCACTTAAATGTAAAATCAGGATCAAAAGTAAAACAAAAAGTTGTTTTTACAACCTTCAGTAAAAACAAAATAAAGCCCTTCTCTTCCTTCTCCCCACTGTCCTCCAACCACAAAAGTCTTGTTTCTGTCCCTGCAATTTGCTAAGTCTCTTTCTGTCTTTGTCTATCATTTCCCTGATCTCAGATCTTTGCATGACTTGCTCTTTTTTTTTTTTTGACTTGCTCTTTTTTATTTTTCAGGTTTCAATCAAATATCACTGCCTTAGAGAGATTTTCCCTCTAAAAAACCTCCCGTTTGGGGCACCTAGCTGGCTCAGTCGGTAGAGCACATGACTCTTGATCTAAGGGTTGTGAGTTTGAGCCCCATGGTGAGAATAGAGATTACTTAAAAATAAAATCTTAGAAACAAAACAAAACAAAAACCTCCCATTATCCCCAAGGCCCTCCCTATCACATTACCCTGTATTACTTTCCTCGTGGTACTTATGACTATCTGAAATCATCTCATTTGTTTTTAATAACTTATTATTTGTTCTCCTAGGATAGAAACTTCTGTCACTAGTTAATCACAAGTCTAGAAGAATGCTTGGCACATAGTAGGCACCCAGAAGGTGTTCAATAAATAAATGAATGAATCTTCACTTGCACTGATATAATTATTTAGAAGTGTTTTGTTTGCATTTTTTGGATTAAAAGTCTTTTTTTTTTTTTTTTTTACTTAGGAAAGTCCTCACTTGTTTCATTTTCCATGGTCTTCTGCAATTTATTTTTTTAAGATTTTATTTATTTATTTGAGAGAGAGATAGTGACAGAGAGCAGGAGCAGGGGGGAAAGGGAGAAGCAGGTTCCCTGCTGTGGAGCTCTATCCCAGGACCCCAGGATCATGACCTGATCCGAAGGCAGACACTTAACCTACTGAGCCACCCAGGTGCCCCTGTCTTGTGCAATTAAAAAATATATATATCTTTTGCCCATTTTTCTTATTTTTTAAAAATCAATTTATACTTTAGATACTAACCCTTTAATATCAGCGTTGTGGCAAATATTTTTACTCATGTGTTTGCCTATTGATTTTGTCCCT